CCCAAGCCAGGCACCACTATTCTAAGGAAACTCCTTCAGAAATTCAACCGGTTTCTCCAAACAACTTCAGCCTCTGTGTTTTCTTTCAGAGCTTTGTTCTCTGGCCTTGGACCCCTTTTAGAGTAGCCTTTGGCTTGGAGGGGAGGGTATGGCTGGAAGGAGGACCATGTAGGGCTTCCTGTGACCCTAAGCCCTGGTCACTTTAACCAGAGGGCCTGGAATCTGCAGCTGCACACAGTCCTGTGGGAGGAGCAGGACCCACCCAGCTTCCTGTGCTTCGCTTGGTGTGTGTACCCACATGTGTGGGGCTGGCCGTGGGCCCCTTATGCGATGGGGACAGTTATTGGAGAAAGTGGGAGCTGAGACCTAAGTGCTCAGAGGGCTCAGGGGTTCCTGTAACTCTTGGAGCGCTGAAAGTGTGAATCCTAGGACAGACAGACAGCTTGATTTGGAACGCAAGGGCTCAGCTTTACGCTTACACTTTCTGCCAGCCGCCAGTGGGCTGCAGCAGTCCCCGGAGCAGGCTGAGCTAGCACCAGATACTCTATCTTATCTGGCCACTGACCTGATTGGAGGGCAGTTGTTCAGTACTAGGGAAAACAGGTCCGCTGAGCCCCAGAACATGCATGCTGTGTGGCAGGGTGCGGTGGAGGGGACTTTCCAGAGGCAAAATGCCCTGCCTCTCCAAAGACCCAGGTCCCTTACACCTCTGGCACCAGAGGCCACAGCCTAAAGGTCTGCCAGGGTGGCCTGCAGAGCCAGGAAGTTCCAGGACAAGTGCTCAGAAGGGAGGGAAGCTGGCCCCAGGCTACTTACTCTCCACCGACCCACAGGAGACCACTTAGAACCAGGTTCCTGCCTTGAAGGGAACAAGTGAAGAAGGAAGATAAGAGAATCAGGGACTCTGGCCATCTCCTTGTTAGGGTTTGGATTCCACTAGAGTTAAGAGGGACCAACCAAAATCCTAATCATAGCACCCATTGCCCACGCCCTGCTCAGCTGGGCCTGGCCTGCCCTCCATCCTACCCCCACCTCAACCCTATGACCCCTGGACCCCTCCCCACCCTGCACAGGTCAAGCAGTCCTGATTGCACCACAGGGCTGTGGAGTGGCCCCTCCCTACCTCACCTGCTGGGGAAGCCCTAGGGGAACTTTGAGTCTAAGCCGAAGACACGTGGCTCAGAGGGAACTCCTATCGCGGAGAGACTGGAGCACAGCACAAACAGCCATAGCAAGTGAAGTTTTGCTTTTAGATTCAAGCATGTTTTAGAGCTACCATTTCCCACAGGGATGGTCGGCTGTGAGGTGCCGAGATTGAGGGGGCTGAAAGGCCTTGAGCAAGTCACCTTACTTGGGACTGTTTTCTCCGGCTTGAAAATGCCCTACAAGCATTCTTCGATGCTGTGTTTTGAAAACATGCCCAGCCTTTCTTGACTGCCACCCTGGATTATGACGGGGCACGGGGAACAGTCAGAAATCAAAGAGTGTCCCCCCCCACCCTGAGGCCCAGCTCTACCTTGTAAGCAGCTGTTGCCAGGCAGCCAGGCCATCCTAAACCTGGGCCTCCACTGCCCCCTCATGGCCTGGTCAGGGGCAGCTGCTCCCAGAAGCAGAGCATGGGAGAGCAGGAGGGACAGACAGCAGAGCAGCCTAAAGCCCTCCTCTTCAGGAGGGTACCACTGAGTGGCCTCCACTTCTCCTGAAGCCCTGGCAACTGCACAGGAGGACCCAACCTTCAACAGAAGGATGTTCTCCAGCCACAAGAAGCTGTATCCAAAACTAACTTACTCCTCTGCAAGACTATTTGGCTCTGAAGAGTAAAAAGAACAATTTGGCTCTGAAGAGTAAAAAGAACAAGAACACTAGGTCGAGGGGCTGGCCACTCACTCCCTCTCTAAGCTACCTGTCTTTCCAGAGTCACACCAGCCTGCTTCTGCAGGACAAATGAGGACCAGATGCTAAGATGGGCCTCCTGGTAGTTCTCCACACAGGCTGAATGAGGAAACGGAAGCTGGCCGAGCTTCCAGAGCAGGCTGGACACTCTATCAGCACCAGACACTCTAACTTGGCCACTGACCTGATTGAAGTGTGCTTTACTCCCAGCCAGGACAGTGGCCACAGGATGATGCCCCCGGCCTTTATGGGGAAAGGCATGTTCACTCCCGTCAGTTCTCCGTGGTGCCCCTGCACCTCTGGCTCCCACCTCCACCCTGACCTGTCCTGTGGATTCCTGCCATCCATTCCAGGTTCTGAGTCTGATCTGGGTTTGGCCAGGAGGGGAGAGGAGGGACAGGCCCTGGAGTCCGCTCAGCCATATTGCCAGTGAAGAGAGGCCAAGGCAAGCCTGGCCAGAGTCTAAAGGGCCCAAAAGGTGATTCTCAGCCTGGAGCAGGACCAGGAGCTCTCTGGCACTGAAAGCTCCGTATGTTTACTCCTGTTGCGGGGCTCTGGTCTTTGGAATGTGCGGCACCCCTGCTGTCAGCAGGGCCCTGCTGACCCATCTCTGTAGGGCTTCTCTTGCACGTGGCTGGTCTGCTCCAGAAGCCACTGCCGCTCAGGCTCGCTCATGGTCAGTCTGAGCGTCACCTCCTGGAAGACACTGCTCACAGCCACCTGCATGAGCCAGAGAAAACAGGGCCTGCTAAGTTACAGCCAGAAGTTCTAGCACCATCAGGCCCCACTGCACAGACCTAGGCCTTGCCCTCTGCCGACGACATCCTTACCTGCTCAAAGTGAAGTTTCTGGAACATCCGGATGCTCGGGTCATTTCCTTGCCCGATTTTAGCCTCAAACTTGGTCAGACCTAAGTTAGTCACTCCTCCCAGAGGAGATCAGAGAGAGGGGCAAGCAGCAGGCTGAAGCCCCTCCCCCAGCTCCTCCTGTCCCAGCTTGCAGTGGAAGCACCTGCCCCCCACCCTCAGGCCTCCTCCCCAGTTGTCTGCTCAGACTTTCTTACCATAAGACATCATCATGAGAACGGCCTCAGTGCCGAAGCCTTTGCCCCTGCAGCTGGGCTCTAGGAAAAACAATAACAGCAGCCGCCACCATGTGCCAGGCTCTAGTGTGGCCACTTGACAGACATGACCTCAATCCTCACAACAACTCTGTGAAGTTGGTACTATCATTACCATTCTGCAGATGAGGAAACAGGCAAGGAGGAGTTAAATGACTCGCTCCAGGTCTCACAGCTTGCACCTCAGCAATCTAACTCCACAGCTGACCCCCCTCACATCATGAAGACAGTAGCCTCTCGGGGTATGCTGCCTCATGGAGACAGTCAGTAGCCTCTCGGGGGAAGCTGAGGACCAAGGATGCAGAAATGGGAGAGGCTCCTCCCACTGCATGACAAGATGCTTCAGAGATCATTTATTTTCAGATGGTCCCCAGCATACGTCAAGAATGAGGCAGACTGAATTGTGAAGACCCCAAAACCAAAGGTTAAGTTCACACCTAAGCATAAGGAAATAAAGTGATGAACCCAGGGGTGAGCCACCTCACCAGGCTGAGGGGGACTCGGGGCAGTCTGCCCCAGCCAAGTGCTGGGCTCACCAATGTGGAGCCTCCCACTAGGTTCTCTGAGCACCCTATGCAGCTTGGCAGCCTCACAGTTCAGCAGATCTGAGTGTGAGGGAGGGAAGGCAGGGCCAGGTAGAACAAACCTGCAATCATGACCTCGATCTCCCCCAAGGTGGGGTCTTCTACATCTGTGAGAAAGAGGTTCACATCTCCTGCCATGCAGCTCTCTTCAGTGATGCCTGGCTGGGCCTGCCACTTCTCTGCATCCAGCAAAATGAAGGTGCACTCTAAGCAGGGAGGCAACAGAGTTATCACCTACACTCCCCAGAGAGGAGAGGTGAGGATGGGATTCCTACCGAAGCCAGGGAACTGCAGAACACCATCGGCCCTGAGTCTGGGAAGAGAAAAGGGAGCCCAGATCTTCCTTCAGCTCATTACAAAGTTCCAAACCTGCCTTCGATCTGCAGTAAAATATGGCTTCTCCAAACAGCACCATACACTCAGAGCGCAGAGGACCCAAAGGACAGGAACCACAGCCACACTAAACTATGGCCAGGGATGTGAGGGGAGGGCCTAAATTTATAGCCAGAGCCAAAAATTCTTTACTTTCTCTAAATCTTTCCAAGCCTGGCACAGTGAGAGGGGAAGAAGTCAGAAGCATCAGTCACGGGGACCAGCTTCAGGTGGGAGGAGGGTACAAAGGTTTCTGGCACCTTCCAGGCTTTTCATAAAGCTTTTGCAGCCTCATAAGCGCTGTGGCTGGTGATGAGAAAGAGAAAGAGCCTGGAGACTGCCTCCAGAGTCAGCCCTCCCACTGCCCAGGGCCGGGGCCTCCGCTCCTCACTGTCTGCATCCTCCCGCCAGCTGTGCTGCATGGCATACTCCTGCTCCAGGGTCAGCGGCTCTGAGGCTGTCAAACGCTGCAGTTCCTCTGATTTCATCCATTCGTGGTACCTGCAGGGACAAAGGGATGGCCTTAGACATGCAGGACTGATTCAGAGGCATGGATGTGACACTCTGTAAAGAAATGCACAGTAGAAAGGAAGGTCCCACAGGGTTAACACAGGGCTCATAGAAGACTCAAAGAAAGGGTTATGATTGCTCCTAAGACAGCGAACCACAGGCAGGAGACCTAAAGGCAGACTAGTTCTAGAAGAGAACAGCAGGAGGAGTCAGTTTTATCTGTCTGGCTTCCTGTCCTGTGTCAGGGGGTCAGTGCAGAGGAGCAGTCTGAAAAAACATTCCTGAAATTCCTCAGGGGAAGTATGTGACAAGCTAACCTCAGCAAAAAAAGCCTGGACAGATCCCCACGAAGGCAGAGCACCAGAAACCCCCAAAAGGGAAATTACAAGCAGAGGATACCCCCCTACACTATCACTATCCCAATCTGCCAGACATTTGCCGACTAACCCCAGAAGAGTACCATCCTGTGACTCAGTCCTGGCTCTCAAACAGCAGACATCAAAACAGCCCATCAGCTCAGAATTTTAGAACAAGCTAACAGTAAGACTGCAAGAACTGAACATATTCACTAGCACCAAAGGAATGTCATTAATTTACAATTAGGTGAGAAGACAATTTTTCTTTCTTACACACATTTGGTTTACATAAAATAATTCCTTGCTGAAAGGCCAAAAGGAAGCTGAGAGGGTGAAAGGGAAAAACGAGGGGATGGGTGGCAGCTTCTGGGGAAGTCATAGTCCCTTGCTTCAGCTTTCTTTTTTTTTTTTTTTTTTCCTATACGTAATCACTTCTCACAACCCATGTTTGTTATTCTCAGAGGCTGTTTCCTCTGAGATTTGGCATAAGGAAGGTTGACTCTCCTCACTGTGACTTAGAGAGCTGACTTACACAGCTTTACAAACTGATACAACTGCACCCCATGTCAGGCGGATCAGTTACCTAGGCACGTGCTCTGAGGTGTAGGGTACCAGCACCACCTTCTTCCCCAGCAGCAAGGTGTTCTGATTCAACCTCATGGTAGCAGCCTGCAGGTGAGGAAGGCAGAGACTTCAGGACCTGAGTTTCCTCCCAGTTAGAGTGGCAGCCTAGGCTCTCCTGCTGGGGCCAAGTTGACAGAAGGGACTCCCATCTTTCTTTCCTTCCAAACACTTCAGCGAACACGAACTCCAAACCCCTTGCAAGAAGGGGAACCTAACTGATTAAGGATAACTAGACAATCCTAACTCGCGTTTCAAGGGGCCAAGCCTGGGCTGCCGTTTCTGCCTATCTCTTCAGTCTACTCCTCAGACTTTCATTCCTCAAACCCAAGCACCAACTACCAACACTTACCCGCAAGAATCCCATTATTTGTCCCAGTCCAGGGATTCCAACCCAGGATCAACTTTCAGCCCTGCCTTAAACCTATTTCCAACCCCTCTTCCCAGTGACCACTCCCCTGGGCCCGGGCCCTGCCTCCGACCCGCCCCACTAGCCTGTTCTCCCAAACTACTTTAGGGTGAGGCAGCCTTAAATTCTCAGGCCTCTCCACTTTGTGTGTCGCTCAGGCACACTCTCCTCGACCCTCCAACCACAGGGGTCTGGGTACTGCCCAGCTCAGACCGACCCACCGCCAACGAAAGCGCCCCCAACAGAAAGAGTGATCACCTCCTCCAACTAACCACGCTTCCCGCATGCGCGTGGGAGCTCACCCCGCCCACTTCCGCCACGCAGACGGCAGCCACCAGGCCCCAATCCCGGTCCCGCCCCCGCGAGGGGCCCAATCAGCGCGCCGCGCCCAGCCCGAGCTCTCGCGGAGAAGGTGGGCTGCGGCGCCAGCGCATGCGCGCTGCGGGCGCTGGTGCGAGACAGCTGGCGCTGGGAGCAGCGGAGTGGCCGGAGGCGCCGCGAGCTGTGCTGCAGGTGCTGGGCCGGACGGGAGGACCGGGTGGTGCCAGACTCGGGGCTCCTCCAGAAGGGAGGGAGAGGGAGAGGTTCGGAGCGGGGCTATTGAGAAGAAAGGGAGGTTTGAGGGTACCGGAAACTTAAGGTGGGGCAGAAGGCAGGTGGGGGGCGGGGAATGGAGGCCCCATTGAAAAGGAGAGGATTCGGGGCAAGGATTGGGTTGGAGGGGCGACGTAGGAAGGCCCCCAGCTCCCTGTCATAGGCGGAGGAGTCAGATAGTTCCTTGGGCTGCCCGGTGTGGTAGCGAGCTCGCAGTTCTTGGAATTAAATGGAGATAACCACCTCAGAGTGTGCAAAGGGGGCTTTTGCGGTGGGTGAGACCTAGTGACTTGGGAGGCCCCTTAAGTCACTTGGAATCCGAGCAGCATTGAATACATTCATGCTGTGCACCGAGCAGTGCCCAGCACAGCAATGGAAAAAAGTTGGAAGAAACCGCCCAGATTTCAGTCATCGAGGAAGAACCTTCCCTCGGGGAGGAGTCTTGTGACAGATGTGGAGGCCGGAAGTGTTTATGATAAAATGATGAGGGGGAGGGTGTCCACAAACGTCATGCCCATCTCAGGTCCATCGGAAAGGTGAAGTCTTCTCTTTTGTCTTAGGGAGACGCTGCAGCTGCCACCCCTGCACAGAAGGAACCTCTGCTGCCCACCCTTCCTCTCTTTTGGAAATGGCCGGTGAAATCACAGAGACCGGGGAGCTCTATTCTCCCTACGTGAGTATTACTGTTAGAACCTGTTTTGAGGGCCGGCCCGTGGCTCACTTGGGAGAGTGCGGTGCTGATAACACCAAGGCCACGGGTTCAGATCCTATATAGGGATGGCTGGTTGGCTCACTTGGGAGAGCATGGTGCTGACAACACCAAGTCAAGAGTGCGGTGCTGATAACACCAAGGCCACGGGTTCAGATCCTATATAGGGATGGCTGGTTGGCTCACTTGGGAGAGCATGGTGCTGACAACACCAAGTCAAGGGTTAAGATCCCCTTACCTAATAAAAAAAAAACAAAAAAAAAAACCTGTTTTGTTCATCACAGTGCTCTTGGCTTCTAGAGAAGCGTGCTGCTTCCTATGTACTGTACTAGTGAGTGCGGCCACTTGGATAGACCCTGGTGAAAGCAAAATGAGGGAGCTTGGTGGAGAAGCAGCCACGTTGCCGCTGTCACGGCTTGGAATATGAGTCAGGTTTATTCCCTTTTTAATGTTTATCAGAGAGTGATAAGCCAAACAAATTGCCTTGCTAATGCTTAATAGTATTTGTCTCATGGCTACTGCCACTTGCATATACTGTGTTGCCCTTGTGATGGACAGTGATTGACAGCTGTTGACTCATGGTTTTGCTCATCTCAGCAATTTGAAATCACTTTGGTCTTTAGCTGAATTTCACGTTGCACAACTTTATAGTCTTGGATGGTGTAAGAGGCAGTGAAAGCATGCAGAGACTTCTAAGTGCAATTTACTGGAGTCTGCAATTAGAGCAATTAGAATGGTTGATTTCTCACTGTCTTGGGTCTGTTATCCCTCATCTATCACACACACACACACTCAGTTTATCTTTCTTAATATAGAGTTGGTCATAGTTGTTACATCATAGGGCTCCCTTGCCTGGATAAGTAGCTGGAGGACTAGAATAATCAGATGATTGACTCACATTGCTACCACGTATCCTAAAGAAGAGCAGCACTGCCCTAAGCAGCGAGTCTTCTTTATTTTTGTTTCATTTTGTTTTGTTTTGGTTTGGTTTGGTTTGGTTTGGTTTTTTTGCTGCTGGCCAGTGTCTTCTTTCCAGAACTTACCATGCTTTAACAACTATCCTGCTTTGCACATACTTTCCTTGCTCGGGAAGCCCTGCTGTGTTTCTGCCAGCTTCACTGGCTCTACTGTTGTGGTGTGATGGATAAAGAGGCATCTCTGAGAACAGCTGTATGATAGCCTCCCTCACTCCAGGGTCTTCCTGTTGAGCCTGTGCCATTCGTGTTCAGCGATAATGGAGCCCTTCATCTCTGTAATTTATCAGGGGAAGTCTTTCGTGATCCCTGGAATGGAGTGAATAGTGTCCCTCTCATTTGTGGAGTCATGTAACAGCTCCTGGCCTCCTAGTATCAGCAATGAAATGTCCACACTGTCTGTAAACGTCGCCACAGTTCCTCCTTTTTCTTACAATATCTATGAACTTAGAGATGAGGAAATGAGTCATTTCTGTAACTGAGTTTTGCAAGGAAAACACTGTGATGTGCCCCCATTTCTTGTGTCTCCAGTTGCTCACGTCGTCATTTCACATGTCAGCATGCACCCACAGGAAACTGGACGTTAGACCTACAAGCTGAGCATGCGCCCACAGGAAACTGGGACGTTAGACCTACAAGCTTCAGTGGGGTCTGCCCCCCCCCCATTTCCTATGTGTTTTATTTTGTTCAGGGTATTTGTTTGAGGGCCAGCTCTGGGAATTTGCTATAAACAAGTGCTGGTGTTTTCTTATTCTACTGGTGAGAGGGATGTAGGGAAAAGATGGATGGTGAGGGGGATGCTGTGGCATTAGCCAGGAGGTAGTAGTCAGGGTTTTGAGGGGAGAGGACACCTCCTTCCTAAGGCTTCCCTAACTCTGTCATCCTGGGGGAATGAGTCTTGATCCCCTGTGAGACCAGAAGAGGGTTTATCATTCACTGAGCCCAGATAAGCTATGGAAGTGTCTTTACTGCCGTTGCTGCTCTGAATTCCCCTGCAGGCCCCCGCTCAGCACACTGTGGGCAGAACCATCCTCTGGCTGCCTTAGGAGACCAAGATACTGGGCCTGTAGTTCATAAATGTACATCACCCTGTAACATGGTCACTTGTAAGATAAAGCCTCTCGTTATCTCTATGCTACCCCATCGTGAGTTCTGTTTTCCTTCAGGGGTGCCAAGCATGTTTGCTTAAGCTTGAATTATTCTGCATGAAATATTTGTAACAGGCAGACAAGCCTCATAGGGGGCTTGCGTGCTATACCCTCTCAGAGACATGATTCAGGCCTGTACATGTCGCCATAAGTAATCTTAGGACAGGCATGTTTGTTTCCCTACTTATGGGGGCCAGGAGTGGCCAGGATTGAAAATACAAGATGAAGTGGATCACTCCCAGCAGCATGGTCCACAGGCTGCTGCCTGCTGAAGATTGTTGCTGTTGCTTTTGAAGGAAAGAGCGCTTGTTTCACATCCTTAAATCCTCGTTGTTGCTTCTGCTTCATTGCTGCCTTCTGTTTCCTTTTACACCTGTCAGAGGGGAAGTCACTGAAAGACACTGGTGGCCACTGCCTCATACAGTGACGTGGGAGACGCTGCTGGCTTGGAGGTGAGGCAGGGGGTGCTGCAGTAGCTCGCTGGAGCACTGGGGACAGGGCAGCAGAACCGAGGAGCAGGGACTGTGCCTTCTGCAGTTCAGCCACAGAGGAAACTCGGATTAGCCTGCACGCATAGGTCTTCTTTTGGGAGGGCCTTATTCCTCAGCTTTCTGCCACACTTCCCTGGAGGCCAACCCCGCAGAGCTGTCCTGTGATCAGCAGAAGAGAATGTCTCCTTTCTCCTCCTTCCCCACAACGGCTCTTGACCTGGCTTGTGGCTCAGCTCAGATTTACTTCCTGCCTCCATATGCCTGCTCCTTGTGATCAGTCCTTACTGATTACTTTTACTGAAGGTAAAGAGGACTTAACACTTGTCAGGACTGTGAAGCCCTCAGAAGGCAAGGAGGTCCTGCCTTATCCCACAGGAGTCCCTGAGCCCCTGCTAGGCCACAGTGCTTGTTTTGGAACTGAAAATGGCAAGCAAAACGAACATGATTATCCATTTCTGTTCCCACCTGCCAATGGCTTATCTCCAGTAAATTTCTTGGTGAAGTTCTGAAAGGTTCTTCTTCACTGAGATTTATTTGAAGTTGAGCGTGCATATTTTATTGTATCTTTATTTACAGCAGTGGTTCTCCACCGGTGGTGATCTTGCCACCCAGAAAACAATTGGCAATATCTAGAGACTTTTTTTTTTTATTTTGGTTTTGGTGGCTGGCCAGCGTAGGGATGTGAACTCTTGACCTTGGTGTTACCAGCACCACACTCTAACCAAGTGAGCTAACCAGCCAGCTCTGAAGACATGTTTGATTGTCAGGAAACCACTGGTGGGGGGAGGTTGTTACTGGAATTTAGTGGACAGAGGACAGGGATGCTGCTAAACACCCTACAATGCACAGGACAGGCCCCCACAACAAAGAATGCTGTGGCCCCAAAATGTCAACAGTGCCTGGGCTGAGAAACCTGATCTACAATGGATCTTTGACTTCTACATCCCAAGACCTTTATGCATCCCCAAATTTACAAATGCCTCTTGTGCTATTTAATTTCCCCATAAAACTTTTGCCCAGGAACCATCACCTTCTTAAGCCTCTTTGCTTTCTCTTTACTTCTATCACCAGAACCATCCCCAGGACCATTTTCCATAAAGAAATAAGATTTTTAATCCCTTTGTAAGTGTTACTTCTTATAGAGGCAATAAGCAGAGAACAAAGCTGCAGAGGGATCAAATGTTAGGTCATCTGCTGGGGTCTATTCTGTTAGTGCCCTGCTTAAAACCCTCTAAAACATCGACCCCCATCACTTCCAAAAGGGCCCTACAGAGTTCAACCCCAGCTTCATACAGCCCTCCGCTGCCTAGCTTGCTGTGCTTCAGCCACGCTGGCCTTCCGAAAGCTCCTTGAACATACCTACCTCTTTCCCACCTTACCTGGAAGTCTCTTCCCTGGCCCATTTCCTGGAGGCACCTTCTCATCCTTTAAGTCCTGGCTTGAATGTCACCACCAGGCCTTCCTTGAGTATCCTTTATTTAAAGTGCTTTCCCATTATTTGTCACAGTTCCCTGATTCTTTTCTTCATAACGCTTGTTCTCTCAAGCTGTGTTCATAGTTTGTTTTCTTATCTGTCTCCTCCTTCTCAGAATGTAGCTCCATGAAGTCAGTGGCTGTGTCTGTGTTGTTTGCTGTTGTATCCCAAGCTCCAAGAACAGGGCCTGGCCCATAGAAGGCTCTCGGTAGTGGTGGAGTAAATGAATGAATGAGCAGAACTAAGCTAGACAGATGACCCATTCCTGCCCTTGTGCACACTAGGCTCAGAGTGCCAGTGATTGAAATTAACCCAGCAAAAGCAAGACTTAGTTTTTTATAGACATTCACAGTCACTTGTGAAAAGCCAAAACTTCTGGTTCAGAAGGTTGGCAATGGGCTGTGTATCCCGTTTCCCACCCACCTGCCACTCTCAAAATTATTCTGTCAACACCACCCTGAGCCTAGACTCTCAAAGGGAGAATCATATCTGATAATGTTGTGATCCAACCAAGTGCCAAAGGAAGATAATCCAAATGTGTTTTAATCCTTCTGGGATTTGCCTACAGTGTTGAATTGAGATGGCGATGTCTAGAACTGGACAAAGACTCTCAGACTCACGTCAGAGATGACCTAACCGGGGTCCAGTCATATCATTTGAGTGTCCCTGTCTTCAAGCTGTGCACCAGGCACCTGAGAAATGCAAAGAAAAGTGAGATACAGCCGGCCTCAGATGCAGTGATGTGGAAAACATAAATACACTCACATCTGAAACTCAAGATAGTGTGTAGGAAGTGTCATTGCTCTGTAACAAAGGTGGTTTCAAAGGTGAGAAGCAAGACAAACATGGAAGACTGGGAAGGGCTTTGTGTTGGAAGTAGCATTTGAATGGGCCCTGCAGGCTGGGTAGGAATTAAGGGGCTGGTGCCCTATGCCAAGTATAAATACATGGTGGGCAGAGCTCTTTCCTCTCAACAGGATGTCCTCCCATTTGTCCAGCACTCAAATGTCCAGTCAACACCTGCTGGGAAGCCTGTCCCTCTCTAACCACTGCCAAACCCCTCTTCCCCCAGCTGACGGCCCCAGGATGGCGTTGACAGTTCCTCTCTCTATTTACTCTTTAAAAAAAAAATCTGACTGAGGCTGGAAGAATGGGCCCCCATTTGCATGTTTCTAATCATAAATTCAGCACATGGTTATCTCAGAAAAACTTAAGAGTAGATAAAAGCGCATCTTTCTAAGAATGGGAAGTGAAAATGAGAGATGGGTGGGTGCTCCAAGAGGTGAGGGGTTTGTTTTCTTTAAATGATCAGAGACAGGGCCGGCCCGTGGCTCACTCGGGAGAGTGCGGTGCTGATAACACCAAGGCTGTGGGTTCGGATCCTATATAGGGATGGCCGGTTCGCTCACTGGCTGAGCGTGGTGCTGACAACACCAAGCCAAGGGTTAAGATCCCCTTACTGGTCATCTTTAAATAAATAAATAAATAAATGATCAGAGACAAGTGGTAAAGCTACTAAGTCACCCAGTTTAACAGAGCACAGAAAGACTAGCTAGGTGTCCACTGTAATAGTCCAGGCCAGAAATGATTCATTTGAATTGTGAGTAAGAATCATCACAAAAGTCTCCTCAGAGGCTGGCTGGTTATCTCATTGGTTAGAGCAGGTGTTATGAAGTCAAAGGTTTGGATCCCCGTACTGGCCAGTGTCAAAAGAAAAAGAAAAAAGAAGTATTCAGAAATAAAATCAGTAACACTGGGATACAGAGGGGAGGAAGGAGGCTGAGGCCACTGATGGGATGTCCAGGTGGTAGTGACTAGCAGGCGGTTGGACTTGAGGTCTGCAGAAGGGTTGATACTAAGAGAAATGTAGTTGTTTTTTGTCCAGCCATTGTAGTTAAAGCCATAGGGTTGGACTAAGTTGTTGAGGAAAAGATGTGTAGAGAGAAAAAGAGACAGCTAATGTCAGACGCGTAAGAAAGAGAATAAAGACTAACTAAGAAAGTCATTGGGGGGCCGGCCCAGTGGCGCACTGTAGCACGGCGGCGCTCCCGCCGAGGGTTCGGATCCCACATACAGACCGGTTCCCGCTCACTGGCTGAGCGAGGTGCGGGTGCAACACTGAGGGTTGCGATCCCGTTGCCGGTCCCGGTCCGGTACGGGCGCGACACTGAGGGTTGCTATCCGTTGCCGTACACGAAAAAAGACAAAAAAGGAAAAAAAAAGTCATTGGACTTGGGAAATAGGTTGTGACATTTTTTGGTAGCTGCCTGGTATAGGGATCTGAACTGTTGACTTCGGTGTTACAATACCATGCTCTGACTAACTGAACTCACTGGCCAGCCCTTCATTTGTGATTTTTTTTTAAGAGTGCAGTTCCTGAAGAGTTCCAGGGGGCTGGCCGGTGAGCTCACTTGGTTAGAGCATGGCTAATAACACTGAGAGATCATGGGTTCAGATCTCCGTACTGGCCGACCTATTAAAAAAAAAAGTTCTGGGGATGGAAACCACCAAGTACAGGAGCTTGGAAATGAAGGCAGAGGAAGCAGATTGCTTCTACTGTCAGTTTGGTAAAGAGAAAGTGAGAGGGTAATAAAGGCATCAAGGAAGTTTGTAAGCAGAGGGGAGGAACTAGTGGGAGGAGAGAATTGCAGAAGGCTGGGATGAGCCCAGAAGTTCAGGTGCATAGCTTAGGTCAGCAAGGAGGAAGGACACGTGTTCCTCAAAGACAGTCAGGGAGGAGGGAGGGTAAGGAGCATGCAGATACTGAGATTTTTTGAGCTAGGAAGGAGTGAGGCTTCAGGAGCACATATCAGGTGACCACAGTCATCTCCATAAAGTAGGAGATGACGCCTTCATCTGACAGTGATGGGGGTCATGGGTCTGGGGGCTTGAAAAATGATGCTTGGAGCAGTTGCTGTGGGAAACGCTAGGAAATCCATGTCGAGGAACAAAGAAAATCTGAGACTTCTAGACCCAAGGTGAAGGAGCCATTCATTTATTGTAGGACCCATCGCTTCGCTGTAATTAAAAGAAAACCCCTCCAGGAATCTTGAGCAGCTTTGTCTCAAGGAGCAGAGAAAAGCAGGTGCTGGGCCTTGTCAAAGGCTGGCAGTCAGAAAAGTCAGAACAGGGAAGGGGAGGAAGAGGGGGGCTGGGGCAGCACATGCTTCCTAGAGCTAGCTGATTGCACCCGGAAAGGAGGTAAACGATGCCACAATGGGGGTGGGCTTCTGGTAGGGAGGGTTGGAGGGCAATGGGGAGCTTATGGGAATGGAGAGCATCGTGGAAGATCAGGGATTCAGGTCAGAAGACAAATTTCACGGTTGAGATCTTGCAAAAAGAATAGTTGTAATTAACTGCACTGGAGTCAAGGTGGCATGAATTAGAGTTACATTTAAAAGCTAAAGTCAGTGACCCAACAAATCACCCCGAGATTGGTTGCCACGGGTAGGGGTGATGGAGAGCGGTTGCTAATGGAAACTGGTTTTTTGGTGGGGGTGATAAAATGGAAGTAGATGGTCGTGCTGGTTGCTAAATATTACTAAAACCCACTGAAGTGTGTACTTTAAAGGGTGAATTTTGTGCAGGGGTGATGGAGAGCGGTTGCTAATGGAAACTGGTTTTTTTGTGGGGGTGATAAAATGGAAGTAGATGGTCATGCTGGTTGCTAAATATTACTAAAACCCACTGAAGTGTGTACTTTAAAGGGTGAATTTTGTGGTGTGTGAATTATATTCTTATTTTTTTTTTTAAAAACTGAAGTTGGTATAGGGAGGGGGGTGAGGGAAGCATGAATTTTGATGTCCCAAAGGCCACTGGCAAGGATTGGTGGAGAGGAGGCCTGAGTCAAGTGTTTGGCAGTCTTGGAAAAATGGGTGTCCCTTTGGGGTCAGCATTGAGCATTCATCCTGGCGCCTGGTACCTACACATGACACTGTCCTCAGGAAGCCCACAGTCTGGTTGAACAGAGTGCTAACATCTGTGAGGCAGCTTTGAATAACCTGAAATGATGGGGGAATGGAGATCAAAAAGGAGGCTGGAGCTGGCCATCGGAGAAGGTCTGAAAAGAACCAACAGAGCGTGGGGCCCTGGTCATCCAGGGCCTGACACTTGGTTGCAGAGCCTGGCTCCAGAGGACCAGGTGTAATTCTCCCCTCTAGTTGCTTCCCGGTCTGAAGTCTGGCCTTCCAGCCTTCCCAGTTGTGCCATCAGCCAGGGCTGTCCTTGGGAGTTGCTGAGGGGAGAGGGAAATTGATTTCTGAGCTTGAACGTTGCTTCTGTCTGTTCCAGGTTGGACTGGTGTACATGTTTAATCTCATCGTGGGCACAGGTGCGCTCACCATGCCCAAAGCCTTCGCCACAGCCGGGTGGCTTGTCAGCCTCGTCCTGCTGGTGTTCCTGGGCTTCATGAGGTGAGAGGCAGGGGCTGTCATGCAGGGGCTGGCAGGGAAGCCAGGGGGAGTCTGCCCAGGAAGGCTGCACTTAACGTGAGGGCACTTGAGGGGTGGGAAATGCCTGTCTACTCCATCTATAGGTATGTGAGTCCCAACCAGGGTGGCCGGAGAGAGGAACTAGGTACAAAGGTCTCCCAGTGTCTCATGCTAATAGAGCAGTCACACAACCCTGACTAGTTAAAAATTAAGGCATCTGATTAGGCTTTGGAATGTTTCACGCAGCGCTGGCGTGTTTCTTCCCCCGGCAGATTTACTTCCCCTGTTATGGACTTTATCAGTGTTCCCATCAATTTTTGCTGTGTGAGCAAACACCACCTAACCACAGAAAAGGAATCCGACAAACATTTAAGGTGATATGAGAACTCAGTTTGGAATTTAGGATTTGCTTAAGATAATTCACAAAGGAAGTGATAAACACACACAATCAAGATCAAGCTCGCCTGCCTGCATTGTGCCTGGCAGCAGACCGGAGGCCAGTGCCTCCCAAGCCCTCAAGCCCTCCTTCCCCTCGAGCCAGGTATAGGATTCATCAGCTGGGGCTTCAGCGAGGCTGATTCTACTCCAGGCTCCTCCTGGGGATTCCACATGTAGGTCTGAAGTCATTTCACAAGTCCCTGAGGCTAGCGAGGGACTTAGGACTAGGCATTTCCAGCCCCCTCAACCAGGTAGGAATCTACATGCTGCAAAAAAAGAGGTGAGTAGAAATACCCCCAAGGGGCACCTCCCCTGAGACAGGCAACACCCCGTCTCTATGCACCAGGCACTGTTCTAGGTGCTCGGGGTGCCTCACCAAACAAAACAAAGATCCCTGCCCTCGCAGACCTGCCTTTGTGTGTCTGGGAAGACAGACGAGAAGCAGGGAAGGTGATAAATGAGTAAGTTGTGGACTAGGTTGGAAGGTGATGAGCAATATGGAAAGAGACGAAGCATAGCAGGGCAAGGGGGGCTGGGAAGGGAGGCTGACTGCAGTTTTAATTAGAGTCGCGAGGGGTCATGGGGGATGGGCAGTGGTTAAGCCAAGATTTGAAGGGGGAAGGAGTAGGTGCCACTGAAAGAGTGAAACAGAACTTAGTGGTGGAAGCAAACTGAGACCTGGAATTGGCTGAATGGGATAGGAAAGCACCTGTGTTTTTCAATTTCTCCACACATTTCTTTGGGGGAGTTTTGAGGTGAACCTTGGGGTACGATTGTCATATTGTGTATGGCGAGCCCTGGCTACCAGGGGCTCTAGCAGACGTTGTCCTGATACGACCCTGTGTCCCCTTTTAAGAGCCTTCAGCACAGGCAGCTGTCTGAATGGGAAGTGATTATTGGGGTCTCCAGGGAGGGGCTGCCATGGCCCCCTCTGTACTCAACCCATTTACGTTTGAACACGATCAGTGAGTTGGCTTCGTGCAACCATGAGAGGTCTCTTTATGCCTTAATTAAGATTGATTCTACTTTTACTTCCAAAAGAAGGGAAAGTCTAAAGTCCTTACAATGGTCACTTAGGCAAGATAATGAGAAACCTTTGTAGGAGGTGCTGCGGCGATTGGAATGGGAATTTCAGAGCTGGCTGCCCCCCCCCCCCAAGTGGAATGGATGTGGGTTTAACTGCTGTGGGGTCATGTGGCTCCCCTCCCACCTGCCACCCAGCTTTGTGGGGCTGAGCGGTCAGCCTGCTGGCCCTTGTCAACACTCAAGGAGGGCACGGGGCGAGTCTGGCGGCAGAGCCATGCTGGCCTCAAGAAAGAGGGAGACGGATGTTCCTCCCAAATTGTTTTATGGCAGAGATGGAACTTTGTGGGGCTGAGCGGTCAGCCTGCTGGCCCTTGTCAACACTCAAGGAGGGCACGGGGCGAGTCTGGCGGCAGAGCCGTGCTGGCCTCAAGAAAGAGGGAGACGGATGTTCCTCCCAAATTGTTTTATGGCAGAGATGGATTGATGCCTCTGGTTTTATTAGCAGGAAGGCTCCCGCCCCTGTATTTTCTCTTAACAAAAGCATTCGTGCATTCCAGCTGTCATGTGGGTGTCTCAAGTTTCTTTAACAGGAAAAGAAAAGATGATTCTTCCACTCTAGTCTGACTTCTTGGTAAATGTCTGGTGCCACCTCCCAATCTCCCTTTTTATTCATACCATTAGAATGCAAGCTTATTTTAGTATTAGCCAGATTATTCAGAAAGTAAACATACTGCCAGTGAAAAGGGATGGACTCTGGAGCCAAGTGTTCATTTTCTATTATCCATGCCCGTGCTCCTTCCATTAGTGGATGTACTTGGGAGTTGACCGCTTGTCTGTGTCCTAGCCAGGAAGGTGAAAGCTGCCTGCTGTCCTTCCAGAAGCTAGGGGAGGGCCCCTTTGTGAATCAGCCTCTTCTCCCAACTTAGAATGTCTGTGCCCGGCAGGCCGCTTCTGGGTGTGTGGTGCTGAGTGCCCCCTTCGCCTCCACCCCCAGCTCGCACTTTCTCCCTCAGTTAGTTGCCCTCTCATCAGCTTCTTTGGAGCCCCTTTCTCCTGTGCATGGGAAATACACTCTAAACATAGACAGCGACATCAAAGCAAGCGCACAGGCGCACAGGCATCGGTTATGCGCACATAACGCTTTCTGACCAGATAAGACCCATCTCGAAAGCTCTCCAGGGAACAGCTCTCAGAAGAGAAAATGCTTTGGGCTTGTTGGTCTGGTCAGGTCTTAAAACGACTTTTCCTTTTTCCTTGTACCTCCTTCAATCCCCCTCTGCCTTTGGCCATTAACACGGCCTCTCCTTCAGCTTTGTAACGACCACCTTTGTGATGGAGGCCATGGCAGCCGCCAATGCGCAGCTCCGCTGGAAGAGGATGGAAAACCACAAGGTGGGTGTATTGTCCTTGTCCCTAGGTGGTGCCCACCTTCAGTTGTGTACCCAAGATGCGATCTCAGCAGCCAGTTCTTCTCCCAACTCATGGAGGAGGGCTGTGTCCACAGTGCTACCCCAGGAGCTGAGTCCCATGGCCAAAGCATGATAGCCACATACAGCTTAGGGAGCAGATACAGCCTGTGCTGTCCCAGCACCACTGCACTGGTCCCTCACACCCCACCTGAGCCAGCTCAGGCATTCCAAACCTCAGTACCCAGCGGCTGTGCTGCAGCTTCTTCCTCTGAGTGTCTGCACCTCCTAATGTGACTGTGGACATGTTGAATACAGCCTGTGCTGTCCCAGCACCACGGCACTGGTCCCTCACACCCCACCTGAGCCAGCTCAGGCATTCCAAACCTCAGTACCCAGCTGCTGTGCTGCAGCTTCTTCCTCTGAGTGTCTGCACCTCCTAATGTGACTGTGGACATGTTGAGAGCTTCCTAACCAGAAACCTCCTAGAAAGAAATAACAAAAGGAAATGGATTCAATGTCGTCCTGGGGATTTTCTGTAGAGTTACGTACTCCCCCTTTTCCCCTTGTTTTTTTCTCCTACTCTTCCTTCGTGCCCCCACCACCCCCGACTTCCAGGAGGAGGAAGGTGACGACTCCTCATCAGACTCAGACAGTGATGTTCTCATCCAGGACAACTATGAGCGGGCAGAGAAGCTGCCCATCCTATCTGTGCGTAAGTCCTGGGATTCTGGGCAGGCCTGCACTTGCCGCTGGCCCATGGGGTTCTCTCTTCATTGAGCGAGCCCTGGGAGTCTCCCCGCAGACAGCTTCTGGCCTTTCCTGCCTGCAGATCGATTCTAGGAGTGCACCGTGGTAGAGTGAAAAGAGCACTGGCTTCAGCATCCCAGGCGCAGGCCTGGCCCCTGCTGGCCCTACCTCTTACTAATGTTCACAACTTGGCAAGTTACTTGACCTCTGAGCCTGTTTCCCACCTCCCCTCCCGTTAATAAAATGATTAAATGCCTGGCTCCATGCCCAGTGCACACTGGAGCTGGAATAGATGTCGTCTACGGCTCCTTGTCTTCCTTCCCCACCCCCATACCCACACATGCCCTTGTCTCTCTGTCTCCTCACCGTCAGGCTGGGCTGGGCTGAGAGCCCCTGCTCTCCCCTCACACCATAAGGAGCACCCCTGAATTTCCTTTAAAAAATATAGACTCTTTTAAAATGTTTCAAGCAGGAAACCTTAGAAAAAGTTTTCTCAAGAGTTTGAGATGCTTGGGGATTTCATTATTCTGGAGAATTCCATGAGCTCAACAACACCCTCTAGGAGCTCTTCCAAGTAGAAGAACCACTTCCTCTTCCTTCTTCTTTTGGCTCCACAGAGAGACGTGGATCTCCCAACCTTTTTGAAATCACAGACCGGGTGGAAATGGGACAGATGGCATCCATGTTCTTCAGTAAAGGTAGGTGTTCCTTTGGTGTGGGGCACAGGGAAAGGGGGAGCTGGTACTTCCCTGCAGAACTGGGCCCTTGTAACGACTAGGGACAGGACAGGTGATGAGGAGGAACAGATTGTCCACCTGCTCCCACAGCACCTGAGAAGCCACTTTGCTGATGGGCCTGGATTGCTTCCGGTCATTTTCTTGGATTCCTCCCTGTCCATCGGCATTAAAAATAAAAAAGCGGCTGCTCCAGTAGAGGTCAGGAATCCTAGGCAGCTTTCCAGTGAACAAAGCCACTTGAGGCCACCTGGTAGTTTTGCGCCTCTTGCTTGATTGCTTCTGACTTTGTTCTCCTTTCTTCTGGCCTGCCCTGTCTAGGACACCTTCTGACAGTGACAGGCTCTGCTGCACACACACCTGGGCATCTTCCCAGTGGCCAGCAGAGGGCGCTAGGAGCCCAGGCCTGGCTGGCGGTGGGAATCAGAGCGCCCTGGAGTCTGGTAGTGATCCCGCTCTCTGTCTGCTCCTTACTGGGATTTGGCTACAACCTGAAGGGATCCACCCACCTCAGGTGTTGGGTTGTTGTGGGTTCTGGCAACAACATCTTATATTTCCATAGCCCATCTTGTTCTTTTGGAAGATGAGCTATTTAAGAGTTTAGTTTTCAGTACCCAAACGTGTTCATTTCCGCTTCACTGAATGTGAGACACATTCTCACTAAATCTTTCCCCTTGCAGCTATCTTGGAAAATTTTCTTCCCCTTTGTCAAAGCCCCTAATTGCCAAGTGGGGTGTCTCCACCGGTTCTTTCTAGACTTGAATGAGGCTGCACTTAACCTAGAGCCAGGGGGACTGTAGAACCTAGAATCTTCTTGCCTGCTTTTTGGGACATTAAGCATTGAGCTTATCATTGGTAGTGTGACTTGACTTTCAGTCCAGAAGATTGTGATTATCCAGGAAAGGTTGCCCAAGGGCCTGGGCCACCCTTGCTACTGGACCAGCCTCATGGAGGGCTTTCAGAATTCATCAAAACCAAACTGATTCCGATCAGCCCACTTCTGTGCTTTTCCTTTGTTCCATTTCTGTCACTCCCCATCTCACCAGCATAAACGTTTCCTTCTGGCAGCCACACAAATTCCCTTTCCAAATGCAGGCTTTTAAAATAAAATGCACATTGGAGGGAGAATGTATACGTTTTAAATCTCCTTTCTCATTTTCATGTTCTGCAGTCTGCTCCAATTTCTTTAAGAGCTCTAAGAACTAATAGTTTTGGTTTTTGTCTTTTTCCCTGCATGGACTAGACTCCTAGTTTACCCAAATCTAATAGAAAATAAACACATTCGTATGAGCAGCCTCATGCTTAGAGAGAGCCTCCTTCTCATCTGCTCCAAGGTTCCTCAGGCTTGGCACTCTTGACACTGGGGCTGCATCATTCTTTTTTGTGGGTTTGTCCTGTGCATTGTAGGATGTTGAGTATCATCCCTGGCCTCTACCCACTAGTTGCCAGTGGCACCTCCTCGTGATGACAGACAGAACTGTCATCACATGTTGTCAGATGTCCCCGATGGGATGGGGGGCATAATCACCCCTAGTTGAAAACCACTGCTCTGCTGTGTTCCTAATTCACAGGTTGTCAGATTGTTGTCTTCACCTTTGGCAGGGCTGCCACCCTCCACAAAAGGCTCCCTTGGGGTCCAGGCTCATTTCTTGTAATTAGAAATGCCAGGCTTAGTCATCGATGTCCTCCGGAAGTTCATTGATCCTCCCACTTTGTGTCTAATAATGAATGTGTTGACTGGGGAGGGCCAATGGTGGTTTATAAACAGAGCTGAGGCTGGAGTCCATTGGCAGGTGGAGGAAAGGTTGGGCATGGGGAGGGGACAGTGCCTCTCCACAGAGAGCACTGGCATCAGAGCAGAAAGGCAAGCAGGAGCACGGGATGCACCTGGAGCCTGGGGCATGAGTGACAAGCAGACCCCAGGGGCCACTGAGCTTGGACACCAAGGCAATCTCCAACATGTGAGGGAAGGACATGCCAACTGACATGTTCAAAAAGCAGGCACCTCCTGGGTCCTTTCAAGAACCATGTTTTCCTAGTCTTTTTATCCCGAGACTCCTAGGAGCAGAGCCAATGTCACGTAGCCCAGTAGTAGCATGTCCTAGGCTTTCCCCTGGGGACCCTGCAGTCTTTTCTGAGCCACCAGGATTAAAAGGGAACTGTCACTTCATTTTTCTTTCTGTTCTCAGAGGAGCCAGCAGCTTGAGACCAGTGGCATCAAAAACTTGAGCAGTCAGTCTGAACAGCAGCTCGAGACTGGCTGTCTGGGACCATAACCCTTAGGTTGAAGAGCCCAGCCATTTTTTCCAGATCTTTTGCACCTGCTCTTTATAGTTGGATTCTTATATGGAGGATAGCACAGGTGAGATTCTTCTTGACATACAGGTTGAGAGACGTTCAGTGATCTGTTGAGGTCATGGAGCAAATCCAATGGAATTAGGACAAGAGCCCTGCACTCCCGACTCCTAGTTCAGGCTCCTTCTGGAGTGAGAGGGAACAAAGGTTTGCAGAGGGAGCTTCAGCATCGTGCGCCTTCCAGAGTCAGCACTGTCCCTTGCAAGCACTTTTGTAAGAAGTAGAGGAAGTGCGTCTTGAATGCCATCTCTCCCCAGCACACCAGGTCACCATTGGCCACCAGGTGCTTGGTGATCAATCAGATTCAGAATGAGGTACTTGATCTTTGGAAATCAAGGGCCTCTTACCCTTTTGATTTCAGTTTCAGAGAGCTGGGCTGTTTCCTGACAACTTCTCCTTGCTTCAGTTCTTCACTAGCAATCTCTTATCGTAGAGCCCTGGGTTGACTGCGGTGGGGCCCTGGCCCACAGGCTCCTGACTCAGGGCAGCTCTCCTGCCCTCCCCCTACAGCCCAACCCGATCCAGCATGAAGGTGCCTCTGGGTCCTCCACCGCTGGGCCACACCTCACACTTACCTTGCACCTGTCTGGATTCAAAACCTCCTGAACCTCTGAGCCTCACTGGGCCGTCTCTCAGGTGAAAGTCACAAGCTGCTGTGTCTCTTGCCAGCGTCACAGTGTAGCCAGCCAGAACAAGAAATGGGACACTGGGCCACACCTCACACTTACCTTGCACCTGTCTGGATTCAAAACCTCCTGAACCTCTGAGCCTCACTGGGCCCTCTCTCAGGTGAAAATCACAAGCTGCTGTGTCTCTTGCCAGCGTCACAGTGTAGCCAGCCAGAACAAGAAATGGGACTTTGGGGTCGTTTTCCCACTTTTTTTTTTTTTTTTCCTTTTTGTCTTTTTTCGTGTCCGGCAACGGGATCGCAACCCTCGGTGTTGCGGCCACACCTCGCCCAGCCAGCGAGTGGGAACCGGTCTGTATGTGGGATCCGAACCCTCGGCGGGAGCGCCGCCGCACTCCCAAGCGGCGCACCATAGCAGTGCACCACTGGGCCGGCCCCGATTTCCCACTTTTTTGTAGAAAGTAAACGGCTTAGAGAACTGAACGCTATGGAAGAGGTAGCGATTTGGTCTCCAAAAAGAATGCAAATGTCTGTCTCTGGCTACCTGACCCATGGCTTTGTTCCTTTCAGTGGGTGTCAACTTGTTCTATTTCTGCATCATTGTTTACCTGTATGGGGACCTGGCCATCTATGCTGCAGCCGTGCCCTTCTCCCTCATGCAGGTGACCTGGTGAGTAACCCCCTCACCCCCACACTGGCTGGACCAAGTGGGCTTCTCTGGCCGGTCAGGGTGGAGTGCCCAGGGCAGAAGCCCAGTGCCAGGCGAGTCCCTCAGTGTCTAAGGAGTATAGAGGCCCAAGGCACTTTTCCACACCTGCCACAGCCAGCCGTGCCCCCGTCCTTAGGGGACACGCTCTACTCTGCCATCCCTCTCCCTGCCCTTTTGGGAAGATGGCTAGGATTCCCATCAAGGGTTCCTGAGTCAAGAGTGGTGCTACAGGAACAAGTGAGGCCTGTCCTAAAATGTGGTTTGTGAAAAGTTGAACTGTTGGAACTAAAGCAGCTGTGGAGGGAATGGCTTCTGTCTCTTCCCAACCAAGCAGGGAGGGCCACACTAGCCTGCGGTCTGCCCTGTTCTCCTTATCAGCAGCATCACTGGCAACGACTCCTGTGGCGTGGAGGCAGACACCAAACACAACGACACCGACCTGTGCTGGGGGCCCCTGCGCCGAGTGGACGCCTACCGCATCTTCCTGGTGAGTGTTCTCGCCTCTGCAGCCCTGGCCCCACCTGGGCACAGCAGGCCATCCCGGGCAGCCAGAGTGCTTGAACCACCTTTACTTTCTGGTAGAACCCAGAGAGGAGGGTCTGTGCATCTCTGTACTCTTTCTCCTGGGAGCCAAGGCCCCCGTAATGAACCAACAGATCGTGTCTCTAAGACCTTATCCCCAGAGCATCCTGGCAACCAGGCCTCAAAATCGTATGTGCTGTGGAGTTGGCATCCAGGTCATTGCCAGCCCCAGGGCCGTGAACTGTTGTAAACGTAGCTCGGAGTTTGAGAGGCACTCTTAGCAAAGTTCTTGAAGAGTGCCAGCTCTCATTTTCCACAGATTGCCTATATTTCTGCCTTACTCCTGGCCAGCCCGTGAGCATATGGATAGATGCGTATGGGTAGTCTGCCAACTGGGCAGGGAGGTCTGATCCCACCCTGACCATAAACAGGCTCTTCGGATAGGGAAGGATCGGCTCAGCTGTCTTCCTGTCTTCCCTCCTCCCAGAGGACAGGGAAGAAGATGAATCTCCAGGCTCGTTCTTGATTGCTTTGTGCCATGCCGGTGGGAGGTAGGGTGCGGAGCTGAATAATATGCCAGACGGGTCTTGGGTAATAAGATACAAAGCCAGAGGCAGTTATTTATCTCTGCCTGCTTTGTGGGCAGGACTCAGAAGTGTTTCCCTGTAACTTTTGCAGTATCTATTAATATTCTGTGCTTCCTGTTGGTCCCTCTCAGCCCTGACACAGATTTATGTATGCTGGGTGACAAACGGTTTGACATGTGGCCTCTGAGCTGATTGGAGGGGGAGGCAGGGTCCAGAAGAGAGCTGCACTTTCCAGGGAGTTGGCCTCTTGACTTAATTATCCCTGTCCTGGCGAAGGAGTCCCCAGGCCCTGCCAGCTGTGCTATTGGGGTCTGGATTTATTAACCCTAAGGGCCACTGAATGGGTGTGTGTTTTGCTTTCTTAGTGCACCCTGTAGACCTACTGAAGGAGCCCTGTGGCCTAGGCCATGGAGAGATTGTTTTTCCTCTCTGCATTTCTGGAGCAGTCAGATGATCGTCTGTTTCTCCTCTTGCACATCCAGCTATGGCTAGGAATTTGTCTTTTAGTAGGATTATATCCCCAACTCCCCCATCACAGGTCTAGTGGGGATTTGGTAGCAAGTGAATTGCCCAGCACCTTTTTCCACCTCCCCAGCCTTGGGGGTGGGCAGAGGAGCCAGCAGGGCAGCTAGGAGAACTAAGGCACTGGCAGTGCAGGAGACCTTGTCAGCCCTTTAGCATTTCAGCAAACCATGATTGATAAAATTAGCAGAAGTGTTAGTAAGTGTAAGGCCCCATCTGGACCTCTATCCTTCATAGACGGGCAGGAGGAGGGAACAGAGGAAGGTGTCTGAGAGCCTGGGCACAGACACGGGTGCGTGTTCAGGGCAGAGCAGCAGTGATTGATAAAATTAGCAGAAGTGTTAGTAAGTGTAAGGCCCCATCTGGACCTCTATCCTTCATAGACGGGCAGGAGGAGGGGACAGAGGAAGGTGTCTGAGAGCCTGGGCACAGACACGGGTGCGTGTTCAGGGCAGAGCAGCAGCAGCAGGGCCACTCAAGTGGGTCATTGCTGGGAGGCTGCTGGAGACTGTGCAGAATCTGCCTGCACACTCCCCCACCCATAGCGACATGGATCCCGAGCACTGGGAATATTGGCTGCTGCCATTTACCTGGTAAATTATTTAGGAGCATTATTATTGCCTTGTTAAACTGTTCCTTCACTTATTCCTATAAACCTTCCACATGATGGAAGAAGCCTCCCTCCCAGAATCTCAATAACTCTCAGACCGAACAGAAGGAACCCTTCAGGAAGGCAGACAGGCATTAATTACTGCCTTCATCTCCCAGATATTGCACTTATAAGTCATAGAGCTAATTGTTATCAGTGCCTGCAAAAGCTACAGAAATTAGAAGCAAAGGCTGCAGGAAAGAGCAAAAACACACTGTCCCACTAGAGCCTGTTATGTCTGAGCCATTGACACTTGACTCTGTCCCTCTGTCATGCCGTAGTCCACTGCCGGAGGCTTCGGATCGCTCAGAAAGCTTTTGGTTTGCGTGTGCTCTTCCACCTGGTGTGGAGAAAGTCCAGGCAGATGGGCCTTGGCATTGTCTTGGAAGTTACTTTACAGCTTTGCATGTGGCTCCAGGGTCTGAGGTGCTGCAGAACAGCAGAGCCTGACCCCAAACACCGATGCGTTCATCACTCTGCATCCCCCTGCCCTCCCTCAGTGAGTCAGAGGAAGGGGCAAAGCAACTAGACGAAGGGGTTGGCAGAGATGTGGTTTCATCCCTCAGCCCCGAGCTCTCTTGCAGGTGATGTTGGCACCTTCCCCTGTCACGTCTGGCCTGTGGGGTTTATCCCTATGTGTCTTCATAAATGTCGGGGGAGCTGGGTTCCATCAAGTGGCTCTTCAGATCCTGGGGAGGAAGGCTGTCTTTTCCCCTTGCCTTCCTCCCCAAAACCCAGTCATTCATGTCAGGAAGATCGTCCATCCCTTCTAGAGCCTCCATTGTGCCTCTTACCTCCAACTGTTTCTGATTTGCTGCAAGCCAGACTTCACCCAAAATACTCAGCAAGGCAGTGAGCAGGTCGGGGGCAGGGATTTAAACTACCTTCCTACTCCATGTACAGATCATCTCTTTGTCTCAGGTAAAAAATGATGCCCCCACCCAACCTGCATTTACTTCTTCATTGCTATTCTGAGACAGTATGTTCTAGGGGATAAAGATACAGGCTCTTATATTATGGTTTAATTTTCAGAAAAGTCATCTGGAAAGATCTCTTCTGTTTCCTCCCAGGAGTGCTCCTGAGATGTACACACATAAGTGAGAGTATTTGGGGTGTTAACTATCTCCAGAGGCCGGCCTGTGTGTAGCCTCATGATTACGTGCAGGAAGGGAGCTTTCCCTGCTAGCAGCTACCAGTCGCTTCTCAAAGCCCTTGATCTTAACAGCTGGAAAATTCCTCCTCCCCTCCTCACATCCTGCAACCCCCATCCACGTCCTGTGATTCCCGGCGCAGCTGATGTGAGTCAGTTATCCCCTGTCCTTTCCTGGGGTAGCCACAGAGCAGAATGCTGTGGGTCCTTGCGTCACTTGCTGCTTTGCACACATTCTCTAGGGTGTCCCAGTAGGCCATGCAGCTGGAGCCAGCAGGGACCTGGGCCTGTTATTAGGCCCATGAGGGTTATCATCAGGATCTGCTGTCAGCTGACCTTGGCTCTCAGGCCCCCATCCCCCAACCCTCCTGCTCCTTTGAAAAATCAAGTGGGAAAGTGTCAGATGTCCCAGCTCTTTCAAAGGGTAACCTTGCCTCCAGGCTGGGAAGCACCTTTTTGAAGCCAAATGGTTTCCTCCTAAAATAGTACCACTCAAACTACAGAGTTTCTCCAGCTTTGGTAGGGAACAAAGTTAGGATTTGGCATTTTGTTCCTTCCTGTACAGTGCGAAGGAGCCAGGAACCCCTGCTGAAGTGTAGGATTGTGTGTGAACCAGTTCCATCCAGGACTCAGACCATCCCAAGTGTCTGGGATGCAGTTGGGTCACTGTCCCCTGGGGTCAAGGACACTGCCCAGCACTCTCGTTTCCCTTCCTCATTGCTGCAGCCCATCATTCCTACCCCTTACCCAGGACTGTTCCTCCTCCTAGATAGTGTCAGAAGGAAGCCCTGAGGGGACAGTGGGGACTCCCCTTTACCTTTAGGAAGAGCAAGCAGCATCCGCCACTTACAGTTGGACAGAAGCTGCTGGGTCACAGGCAGCCCAGCAGGCACCAGCCGCACAGAGCTGGGAGCGCAGATGGCAGAGCAGAGCTTATCCTGGCTGGAGATTCGGCCACAAACTGGCCATGTTGAGCAGGGGGCCCTTCACTGGCCTCCTTGGGACAGGACAAGGCTTGCCTTCCTGCCTTGAACGTGGGAGCTGTGAGATCCACCTCCAGGGCATAGGTGAGTCGGGAAGGAGATGCAACCTGCCACCCACTGCAGGTGGAGGGCATCCTTCCCAGACACTCCCTTGAAGAAGTGGGGTGGGGTTAGGGGCATGGGAAGAGTTCTGTCTGCCAGACTCTCTTTCTAGAAGAATGGGTCAGCCTGAGAGTCAGGCTCAAGTTGGCATTGGAAGGGTCCTTCCTGGCCCTCACCAAGAGCCCTGTTTTCTCTCTCTGCCAGGAGACCATGTTTTCTGATTCCATCTTGGCTCCATCTCACACAGCAACACTGGCCTTTGTCTGTTTGCAACTTAAAATATTGTGCAGTCCCCTTTTTGAAGCCAAATGGTTTTTTTCTAAAATAGTACCACTCAAGGAGAAAATGTCCTTTTGTGAGAGGGTGGAGAAGGAAGAAACGCACTGCATAGCAGTGCTGAGCCAAGCTTTGAGAGTTCCCGCCTGCCTCAGTTTATCTTAGTTGCTGTTGCATGTTACCAGTGATTTTCACATTTCTGATTTAGACCTCCCAGCCACACAGCAAAGTACATGGCATCATCCCATTTAATAGCAGAAAACACTGAGATCCAGAGATTGTGGCTTCCGCAGGGTTACAAAGTGGAAGCCAGCAGGAGTTCAGCCACTTGCACTCTCAGCCTAGTCCTCTCACCCTGGGAACACAGACTCGCTCCCCTCGGCTGAAACTCAGGTCTAGGCACTCTGCTTGCAGGGCGGCCCCCGTTGCAATGCACAGATGGGGGGAGGGAGAGCCCATGTCAGCCCTCGGAGCCTGACATTTACAGAGGGTTGGAGCGATGCCACCCAAGTGTGGTGTCTGGAGAGATCTGCGTTTTCACAGCCCGCCTGTCCTCAGCTTAATTGATGTGCCGTGCGTCTTGTGCCCCTCGCTCCTAGACAGTGAAGCCAGCTTTTCCTGGTCACTCGAATAGTGTTAGAATTGAGCACCTCTTCCCAAGGACATTTCCCTCCCCTGCTGTGGTCTCACTCTGTT